ATAGTCCAGTCTGTTACTTTCTTTGTCCATCTGTCGTCCTTGTCTCCGACATACATGCCCTGCCCATTGCCATTTCTTCTTTTAATGCTCTTGAGTATATTTCTTCTACCTTCGTCTGTTCTCTGATCCACGTCGCCCTCTTCCGATCTCTCAGGCTAATTCCCATCATCGATCTTTCCATCCCTCTCTGGGCGCTTATTAGTTTCCTCTCCAGTAACCTGGTTGTAGTCCATGTTTCTGACCCATAGGTCATAACTGGAGGACGCATTGGTTAAAGACTTTTCTTTTTTAAAACACAATGGCAAGGAACCTCTTAGTGTGCTACTGTGCCTGCCGAAGGCACTCCAGCCTAGACTGATTCGTCGCTTTATTTCCTGTTCACTTGATGTGCCTGTCTGCACGAATTGTCCTAGGTATATATACCTGTCTACTACCTCTAGTGCTTCGCCTTGTACATGTATTGTTTGAGTGGGACTCTGCTGTTGAACATAACCTTAGTCTTTTCTTGTTCATTTTAAGTCCGACTTTTAGGCTTTCTCTATTCAAATCGTTTTAATTGCTGCAGTTCATCAGCTGATTCACTAAGGAGAACAATGTCGTCTGCAAATCTTAGGTTGTTTAGGGTGTTTCGTCTCCTATTTTGATACCCTTCCCTTCCCATTCTAGTTTCTTGAATATTTCCTCGAGGCAGGCTGTAAACAGCTTTGGTGAGATGGTGTCGCCCTGTCTAACGCCTTTTTTTAATTGGTATTTTATCGGTTTCTGTGTGGAGTTTGATGGTTGCTGTCCCATCTTTGTATATATCTTCCAATATATTACAATATACCTCCTCAACTCCCTGTTGTTGAATAGCACCTAATACTGCTGGTATTTGTACAGAGTCAAATGCCTTTTCATAATCGATGAATGCCATACACAGGGGATTCCTATATTCGTTTACTTTTTCTCTTATTTGGGTGAGCGTGTGGATGTGATCTGTTGTGAGAATCCGCTGCGGAAGCCTGCCTGTTCTCTAGGCTGGCTGGAATCCAGACTGTCATAATCAACAATTGCATCCCCACACCTTACTCTTCTCTTCTATAGAATTCCACTTCATACTGTATGCAAAATTGCCGTTTCTTTTTTTCTTTTTTTTCTTTTTCTTTTTTTCCTGTGGTTCGTGGCCATGATAGGCGTGCGAAACGAGATCCGAGCCTAACGCTGGGCGGAAACGAGGCGGAAAATTGGTCTTATGTTGCCTTAATCTGCTTCGAGTGGGGGGGAGGGCATAAGGGGGGTAGGGGTGGGTGAGGGGAGGTGGGTGAAATGCGTGCTTTTTTGAGGTGGTTTGTTGTGGGTTGTATTTTTGTTTTTTCTTTTTTTTATTGTTAGTCTGTGTTTTCATATGTCTACTTTATATGTACAATATGTATGTCTGTCATTCTATATAGTTAATCTTATGTACGGACACACACTAATGAAATAAAAAGGAAAAGAAAATTAGAAAAAGAAAAAGAGGATATAAATAAAGAAAGAATAAAAAGGAAAAGAAACGAAAAGAAAGAAAAAATGAACATCCCAAATAACTCCCTCTCTCCTCTCTCTCTCCTCCTCAGGTGAGCGTGTTCGACCAGGCGCTCATTAACGAAGGCCGAGTCCAGTACGTAGGGATCGGGACGAACGTGACGTCAGACCATTTCGTCTTCGATGTGACCAATGGGATCTCGAGCTTGTCCAGACTCGTCTATAATATACAGGTGGGTTGTTTGTTGTTGTTTTTTATGCCTTTGCTTTGTTGTTGATTTGTTTTTGTTTTGTTTTGTTATTGATTTTATGTTTTCTATTTATTTTAATTTTTTTATTATGATAATAAAAAATATTGTTATTGTTATTATTGTTATTATTCTTATTATTTTTATTATCAGTATCATTATTATTATTATGGTAGTAGCAGTTGTAGTAGCAATTATAGCAGTTGTAGCAGCTGTAGTAGTAGTAATAGCAGTTGTAGGAGCAGCAGTAGTAGTAGTAGCGATGATGGTAGTAGCAGTCGCATTATTGTATGAATAGTAGTAATAGTAGTAGTAGTAGTAGTGGTAGTAGCAGTATTAGTGATAGCGGTGATATTATTGTTAATATTATGATTATTAGTAACAGTTGTGGTAGTAGAAGTCGCATAATATGAAATATAATATAACCTAGTTTAATTCCATTTGTTGCAATAGATATTCTTTGCTGTTGACTTGCTGTCCGTTTACATGCTTCTAAAATAGTAGGAGTTGTAGCAGCAGCAGCGCTAACAACAGTAATAGCATCAATAGTATTAGTAACAGAAGCAGGAAGTATTCAGTGGCAGTGGAAATGATAGTCGATGCAAAAGCCTTAAAAAAACGCCAAGTACCTGTTGCTGAAGGGATTGAAGTGCAGAGGGAAAAAGGCGATACGCATAAGCCATCAGCTAGAATGGTACTTTGGAAATGAAACTGCTTGCTTTTGTATTACTTTCTGTGATTCTGTTGCATTACCTTCCCTTTTTTTTACGTTTTGGTACTTTCTGGTATTATATCGTATTGCGTACTTTTACTCTACATATTATTTTCTATAGCTACTGCATAACTTTGTTTTACTCTACTCTATTATTTTATTTTACTCTACTGTATTACTTTCTCGTTACTTTTTTATGTTCTTTTGTATTCCTTCCTGTTACTATTTCGAATTTCTGTTTCTCTGCCATATTCCTTCATGTTATTCTGTTGTATTTCTGTTACTCTACCTTCCTTCCCACAACTCTATTCCACTCCCTTCCATTACCTTATAAGAGTAATAGCCCTCCATCCTTACCCTCTACACCCCATCGCCCCCTCTCTCACACCCCGCTCCTCCTTCTGCAGGTCATCCCCAAGACCATCTACCTGTCCGCCGGCGCCCTGCACGTCGACGAAGGCTCCCAGACCATCGTGACCCTGGACGTGGTGCAGGTCCTGACGGAGTATTACACCGACAAGATCAAGCAGTACCTGGTGCGGCGTGCAGCCGGCGGCGGGGCAGCTGGAGCTGGCCTCGAGACCCGGACTCAGGGTCGAGGCCTTCACGCCGCTGCAGCTGGAACAGGGGCTCATCTCGGTGCGAGCTTTTTCATTTGTTATTTATTTATTTATTTATTATTATTATTATTTTTTTTTTTTTGACGGGGGAGGGTTCGTTTGAGTATTTTTGTGTTGTGTTTTTGTTGTTGTTTGTGTTTGTAGGGATGAAGGGTAAATTTTTTTTTTTCGTATGTCTATGTCATGTCATGTATGTATAGTATGTATGTATATTAATCGTATACTATTATATATATATTATATATATATATATATATATTATATATATATTATATATATATATTATATGTATTATATTATATACATTATATTATATGTATATGTATATGTATATGTATATATATTTGGCATATGTGTATATATATATGCAATATATTGCTGTGTGTGTTAGTATAAATTATATTCATGGAAAAGAACCACTCACCTCAAGTATCCCTTAAGCCTTCCTTCTCGCCCCTTTCGCAGTACGTCCACGACGGCAGCGAGCGCCTCACGGACTCCTTCAGTTTGGTGGCCGTGTCAGGTGTGCGTCAGAGTGCGCCCGCCCAGGTGAACGTCACGATCAGGGGACTCAATGACGAGGCGCCTTTCGTGCGTGAATAACACGGGGATTGACCATCTGGGAAGGTGACAACCGTGTCCTGACGTCGGAGAGCCTCGGTGAGTGCTTCTCGATTTCGATTTTATTTATTTATTTATTTATTATTATTATTATTATATATTATTATTATTTTTTTTTTTTGCTTAGGCTTGACTCTTCCTTGGTCCTTTCGTAGTTTCATTAGCATCGTTCTCTATTTCGTTTCCTTTGTTCGTTTGTTCCTTCCGATTCTGTCTCTCCTCCTCCTCGTCCTGCCCCCTTCTCTCTCTCTCTTCCTCTCCTCTCTCTCTTCTCTCTCTCTTCTCTCTCTCCTCTCTCTCTCTCTCTCTTCTTCTTCCTCTCTCTCTCTCTCTCAATCTCTCTCCTCTTCCCCCTTCCCTCTCATCTCTTCCCGTCTGCACCATCCTCTTCTCTCACCCTCTTCTCTCCTTCCTTCCTTTTCTTCCTCCCCCCTCCTTCCTTCTTCCTCCCTTCCTCCCTCCCTCCCTCCCCTCCTCCTCACTTCCTCCTTCCTTCCTTCCTTCCTTCCTTCCCTCCTTCCCTCCCTTCCACCCTCCCTCTCGCTTCCCCCCTTCCATTCCTCTCTGTCCCTCCCTTCCTCCCCTTCCCTCCTCCTCCCCAACCCTCCTCTCTCCCTTTCCCCCTCCATTCCTCTCTGTCCTCCTCTCCTCCCGTTGTCCTCTTTTCAATTCCATTGTTTATCTTTGGTGTTTCTTTGCCTTCATCAGGGTTCGGTAGAATCTGCTCGGCATTAGTTAGATGGTTCGCTAAACCTTTTGTTTACCTGCCTCCTGCTTCGGGTCCTGCTTCTCGTGATTTCCCGCTGCTTGTTAACGCATCCGGTGTCCTTCTCTCTTTGTTTCTCTCCTTTCTGGCGTCTTTTCGTTTTTTCAAGGTTTAACTTCTATCTATCATTGGTTTCTTTTTCCTTTGTCTTCTGGTCTGTGTGTCCTGTCTCTGGGTGCTCTGTTCCTCTTTCTTGGCTATCTCTCCTTGATCTCAGTTCTTTCTTCTCGCCCTAGCTCGTGCTGCTCTGCTCTCTGGTCTCTCTTTCGTCTTCAGTTCATTGTCTCTGTCCTGCATGTTCTCTGATTCTCTTTGTTCTCTGTCTCTTCTCTTCTGGTCTTAGTCTTTGCTCTGTCTGCTATCGTCCTTGCTCTTGTTCCTCGTCTCTTTTCTGTCTTAGTCTTCTGTCTGTGCGTTGTCTGTCCTGGTCCTATGTTTCCTTTGTCCCTCTTTGTCTTCTTTCGTCTTTCTCTGTCTGTCTCTTAATCCTTTCTTTTCCTCTTTCTCTCTCTTCTCGTCTTGCGTCTTCTCGCCTGCTCTCTCTCTTCCCATCACAACACCTCGTCCTTCCAATTCCTTTAATTCTTTCTCGTTCTTTCATTTGGTACTGGTTCTAATTTCATGTTCGGTCAGTATTCGCAATTAATTGGACACCTTTAAGAATTATTTTTCATTTACAACCCAACTTCTCTTCGTGTTTGGCCCAGGTTTTCACCTCATTTATCTCCATTTATTGTCACTGCCTGGCCCTCGCCATTATCATTACTACTAACGTCTAATTTACTTCCATCTCCTCTATGTTTACGGAAGTGAACATACGTCTCTCCCTCCCTTGTGTTCCTGGTGGCTTCCCCCCGTCTCTCTTCATTTTAGTTTTTGCCTTGTACTTTTTTACCTGTGACTTTCCAATTGTTTATTTATAGTTTATGAAATATTTGGCCATATTGTGTACTCGTCACCTTGTTGTACATCTTGTGTACACTGTATGTATTATATCTAATGGTAAATTGTCTTTCTGCTCTGCGAAATCATTGATGAGACGAATTCAAACACACATGCACAACCACACCACACCACTACACAACACACCCACATCCGCAGCATCCCCCAGCACAGCACCCATCTCACACAGCACCAGCATTCACACACAAAACCCAAGCACAATCACACCTCATCATCCAGTCAGCTACCGGCACACAACACCACACACACAACCGAACAACATCCACTCACACAACACACAATAGAACAAAAGCCAAACCTCCAAAATCATATCTACTTACACTTTACCAATCTACACGTAACAATATCTTACTTAGTCTAATGCATCTATATGATCTAAAAATACTATATTCTACTTCTGATCTCTCTCACTTCATCTATGCTCTGATATAATAATGACCTATGCTATATTCTGCATTCCAGAAGACACAGATATAATTCATCGCCACATCAAGTACGCAAAAAAGTTGACTCATCCATCCTCCGCAAGCTACTACTCAACCTCGCAGATTGAAAATCCTCTTCTTATCACCCTCTACGTCGCTAAAAGTTCTTCTCCCCCCCCCGCCACCGCCCACCCTCCACTCCTCTCCAACCCCTCTCCAACACAAAAAAAAAAAAAAAGAAAAATAAGCAAATGCCGCCATGGGACCCAGAACTCGAGGCCCGATCACATAATCTGATCCCTGTTCCAGCCGGACCGCTGCGACCACCGGGTTTCCTCGCCCGACGTCCCAACCCTGAAGTCACATCCTCGCTCTAACCTCCACCACCTCTGCTCTCTTTGTCCACCGCTCTCAGCTCGGACAAGGGGATCGCCACGCTCCGGGTGTCATTCTATTGCTCTCGACCATAAGGTTAGAGATAGGTCAAACCTTTTTTTGTCGTTTTTTTTTCATTTTTTATTATTATTTTCTTTATTATTATGCGATTTTTTCATTTTTTTATAAGTGCTTTTCTTGCGTGCTACCCCTGGTTTTTCTTGTTTTCTTCTTTTTTTTCTCTTAATTATTTTGTTTTCCTATTTCCGGTTGTTTTTGTTTTCCTTATTCTTCTCTTTATTTAATTTTTTTATTTTTTTTTCGGGTTTTCATTGTTATCTGTATTTCTATTTTTCTTTTCCCTTTGTTCTTTTTTATATTTCGTCATGTTTTTTTTGTTTTTCTAGACTTTATCTTTCTTTTCTTCCCTTTTTTTGAGTAAAAATCTATTATTTCTTAATAGTTCTGTTTAGTATCGTTTGTTTTTCAGTTCTTTTGTACTTAAATTTCTTTATTCAGTTTTCGTTGGTTGTGTGTTATAAAATGATTTTATTGTTTCGTATTTTCAGTTTGTTTAAATCTAAGTGCATTGCGAAGTATTATATATTATTATTATTATTATTAATTGATTATATTATTATTGTTTCTATTATAATAATAATAATTATTATTATTACTATTATTATTATTTTACAAAGAATACTTCTTAAAAATCAAGTAACGTGAACAACAAAGAAAACATAATATACTTAGGAACCAATATTACAACAAAACAAAAACGAAACAATTCAAACAAACACAGAAGAAACATGCAAACAAACACACAGGAACCATATATATATACTAAACCAATGTACAACAAAAACACAAACATGAAACAAACACAAAACCAACACATACTAAAAACAATATACAACAACAAAAACAAACAACACACGGGAACACATACAACAAACACACAGGAACATAATATACTAAACCAATAGACAACAAAAACAAAGAAACAAACAAACGGGAACCAAATTTACAATAAACTAACAACAACAAAAACAAACACATGCAAACAAACAAACAGAAACCAAATATATACTAAACCAACAGACAACAAAACAAAAACAAACATGCAAACAAACACACAGACTCCAAATATATACTAAACCAACAGACAACAAAACAAAAAAAACACACCGCCACTGACCAAGCACATGACCGTCGAATTGCAATCACACGCCCCCCTGCACACCTTGCACGACCCCGACCGTTTAAGACGCCCCCCCGAAGCCGAATCAAGCACGCGGGAGGAGCTTGCAATTGCTTTGAAGTTTGACCCTGCAATGAGGCGCGAGGGACTGGCTCGCTCTCAACAGGTAGCCGGTGGGAGGTCACGATGGGGAGCGAGAAAAGGGGGTCGGGTTTGTTTGTTTGTTTGGGCGAGTGGGTGCCGATTTTGGAATTTTGGAAAAAAAAGTGTGTCGGGTTTGTTTGCTCGTGTTTGTTTGTTTGTTTGGGCGAGTGGGTGCTGATTTTGGAATTTTGGAGAAAAAAGGGTTGGGTGTCGGGTTTGTTTACTCGGGTTTGTTTGTTTGTTAAGGCGAGTGGGGGCGAATTCTGGAATTTTGGAATAAAAGGGTTGGGTGTTGTTTTTGTTTGTTTAGGCGAGTGGGTGTGTCTGGTGCCAATTGTGTTTTTTGTTGTTGTTTGGGTAAGTGGGTGTCTAGTGCGAATTTCAGTTGTTTGTTTAGGTGAGTGGGTGTTTCTGGTGCGATTTTTGAATGTTTGTTTGTGTTGTTTGGGCGAGTGAGTGCGTCTTGTACGAATTTTGTTTATTTGTTTGGGCGACTGGGTTTGTCTATTGCCAACTATGTTTGTTTATTTGTGTTTGTTTAGGCGAGTGAGTGTCTAGTGCGAATTTTGAATGTATGTTTGTGTTGTCTGTGCGAGAGAGTGCATTCGTTGCAAATTTTGTTTGTTTGTTAGGGGGTTGGGGAGTCATGTATATCTTAATATTTGTTTGAATAAATGTACAAATAAAACAACGAAAAGAAGACACACTTATATGTCGAAAGTCTTTTTGCTGTATCGCTTCCCCATATATGGTTTTGTGTGATGCATCTACCAAACTATCTATCTTTCAATCAATCAGTCTGTCTTTATCTATCAATCTGTCAATCATTTAAGCTATCTGTCTATCATTCAATTAATCTATCTATCTATCATTCAATTAATCTATCCACCTATCACTTTATACATCTATTAGTCAATCTATCTATCAATCACACAGACCATATCCACCGAACGAAGCCACATCCACGCTAATTAAAGGCCCGTCGCCAAAATCGCCAATATCGCCAATTTCTAGGCACTCCTCTTCCCTTCTTCCCTTACCCCTCCTTTTCCATCCTTCCTCTCCCTCCTCCTCTTCCTTCTTCCTCCTTACTCCCTCCTTTCCTCCTTTCCATCCTTCCTCTCCTCCCTCCCTCCTCTTCCCTTCCCTCACTCATCCTTCCTCTCCTCCCTCCTCCTCTTCCCTCCTCACTCCTCCCCCTCTCTCTCCACACCCTCACCTCAGCAGCATCCTCTCTCTCTCTCTCTCTCTCTCTCTCTCTCTCCTCTCTCTCTTCTCTCTCTCTCTCTCTCTCTCTCTCTCTCTCTCTCTCTCTTCTCTCTCTCTCTCCCGTCTGCCTTCGCCCGGGAGATGATCGAAGCCCCGCCCACCTACCCGCCCTGTTACCTGCCGCCCCGCCCCCCCCCCCCCCTCCTGGCTCTGCTCCTCCAGATGCTGCGATTAGTTTGATGTTGCGAGGAAGGTGATTGGGAACCGGGGTGATTGGGTTCTTGATTGGGTCGATGGCTGGGGGACTCGTTGGATGACTGGCCGGCTGACCGATCGGTTGTGGTGGAGTGGATTGGGTTGTGTGGTCGGTTTGGGGATTTTTTTTTTTTTTTTTTTTTTTTTTTTTTTGGGGGGGGTGAATCAGCTGGATGACTGATTAGGTGTGATGGATGACTTACCTGTTGTGATGGATGGATGACTTTATTTGATGGATGGATGACCAGGATTGATAGATGACTCACCAGGTTTGATGGATGACTCACCTGATTATGTGCGATGGATGGGTGATTTGGTGTGATGCATGACAACCCAGTCGTTGTGGATGACTGATTATTTATGGAGATGGATTACCTGGGAGGACCGAGAAGTTAGTGCGAATCTGGATGACTGGTGACTGACTTTTCAAGTAAATGTTTAGTTCGCTGACTGACTAGATGTTTGGGTATTAACTGAATAACAAGACAGCGTTCGGTCCAAAGTTTCTAAGGTTCTGGCAGGAAGTTATCGTTCGGAGAAATTAAACGTTTTGTTATTTATTAGTTCAGTCGTTTATAAGCAATTCATTGTTATTGCTATAATATTATGAAATAGAATAAAATATATTATTAATAATGATGTACACACACACACACACACACACACACACACACACACACACACACACACACACACACCACACACACACACACACACACACACACACGCACGCACGCACAAACACGCACACGCAGTAACTGGTTTATAAATTGCACACGTGATCTCAGATATCTACGATTCCTAAGAACCCCAGACATGTCATGCCCTCCCTCTGTGCCCGCAGGTGGCCTCTCGGGGATGTTCCGGTGGGAGGCGAGCGACCAGGTCCACGGCACCGGCTCCAACGTGTTCACCGTGGCCGCCCGGGCGCTGCACATCAGCCTCGTGCGGAACGAGCAGCTGCACGTGTTCCCGATGATGCAGCAGCCGCTCTCGGCCGCCGTCCTGCTCGCCGTCACGAACGACTTCAACATCCAGAGGTCGCTGGTGTACGTGATCCGCCAGGCGCCGTCCCTGGGACAGCTGCTCCTGGAGGAGGCGGGGGGCGTGCTGGTCCCCGTCGACAACTTCACCCAGCGGCACCTGAACGACTCCCGCATCGTCTTCGAGCACACGAGCCCCTTCTCCGATCTCTCAGCGAGCGACATGTTTGTCTTCGACGTGGAGACTCCGTTTGCAGAGCCGCTGAAGAACCAAGAGTTCCACATCGAAATATCTGTGGCCAGTCCGCGCGGAGGAGGCCTTGAGCGCTACCTGGGGCTGGCGCCTCTCGTGGTGGCGGAAGGAGGTCAGGCGACGGTGAGGCAAGACAACCTGAACCTCTCTGCCGTCTTGGAATTCATCGAGACGTACCCGGGGGCTGGCGTAGCGGTGCGATTCCCGCCACAGCTCATCGCCACCGTCACCTCCACGCCTGTGAATGGCATCTTCACGCTGAGAGACAGGAACATGACTGAGGGCTACACCTTTACCGTTCGCGACATCGAAAGAGGCCGTGTGCGGTATGAGCACGATCACAGTGACACCCTCACAGATAGCCTAGGCTTCACTGTTCACCTTGCTGGAAATGGCTCATCTCCAGATGTACTACTCTTTAATGGATCACTAAACGTTAGTGTAACACCAGTGAATGACCAACCCTTCACTTTAGTCACCAGTGCCCCAGTTCTGTATGTTGTGCACCGTCAGAATGCAATTATCACCAACCACAGTTTGCTAACCACAGACCCTGACAATGTTCCAAAGGATATTGTGTACGAACTGATGAGCGCTCCTGACCATGGGCGTCTCATCCACGTTGACAACTTCAGTGTAGCTGTTCAGTCTTTCTCACAAGAAGACGTGGATGCTGGCAGGATCCTGTATGCTCATGATGGAACTAATGGATCAGCCCGCTTCTATTTTAAAGTGTCAGATGGGAAACACAACCCTAAATACTCTGTTTTTACCATTGAAGTTCTGCCTCTCACTTTAGAGCTTGTAAACCATACTGTTATCCCCCTGAAACAAACTTCTACTGTTGCTTATATTATGCCTCGTCATCTTGCAGCTAACACAAATGGCAACAGCAACCATATCTTCTATAATGTTACTAGATCACCCAGATTTGGTCGGTTGTATATGAATGACCAAGTGATCCACACATTTGGACAAAGCAATATTGATAAAGGAGAAGTTCTGTATATGCAAACAGATTTGACAGAACCATCAGATAATTTTAGAATAGATCTATGGACATGGGAAGCATCTATTCGTGATGTAGAAGTAAGGGTTGTAGTGACACCTCTTGTAGAAACCAAACCATTGATTGCAACGGTAGGTGGAAGAACCCGACTTACCTTAGACCACTTGGATGCTTCCCAACTAGCCACCATTACAGGCAGCAATCCTGTATACAAAGTGAAGAAAAGACCTCGTTTCGGGAAGCTGAAGAAGATCAGTCGGCGGACGAGGAGATCTGGCAGGTCCTACGAAGTTCAAGAGTTTACACACGAAGACATAAGGGCAGGCCTTATATTTTATATTGCAAGGAATCTCAATCTGAGGGCTGATGAGCCTCTGCATGATCATGTCCACTACATCCTTAAGGTACCAGCACCAGGTTTTCAACCAGCAGAAGGAACACTCCGCCTTAGTTTGGTGGAGAGTATGGAGGCTGGAGCAGCATTAGAAGAAGGTGCAGGACCGCCAAGACATCTGCGCCCAGAAATCCTCTCACCTACGGGAGACATTGAAGATCCCTCATCAAACTCGGAATCCTCTAGTTTATTCCCTGGCATTCCCATGGATTATATAATTGTCATTGTGGCCTCTGTTGGAGCTGTGATGGCTGTTATAGCTCTGATGGTGCTGGTACGCTGTGCTACTCGTCGACGACATAGTGACAAGCGCAGTGATGTTGGAATGGATGGTGATGTAGCCTCCCTACCCCCACCACTGCCAACCGATTCACGACCCAACTCCTTCATGACAGACGATATGTCAGAACTGGAGTGCCGGCCCCCAGAACTACCATCGTCCCCAAGGCCTGGCCGCCACCACCACTTACACAATGGTGGCAGTGGTGGGATGGGTCTGGCAGCACACCTCACAGATTCTGATGCCTCCTGGCCCCGTGACCCATCTCGGGAGGTCTCACCGGCAGTGCCTCAGTGCAAGGTACGGTGGAAGGTTCTGCCTAGCAGCACCTGTGTCTGATCATGTGTTTTTAGTAGTAATGTTTGTTTAGTTTTAAAAACTGGCACATTTTTTGTTAACTTTTTAAAGAATCAATTATTTATACTTAAACTTTCCAGAGATTTTGATAATTTTTCTTTGCACATTTCTCCTTCTTAGCTTTAGCACTTTAAGAGACAAAGCAAAACTTTAAAAGACCTACAGTCACATTTTTATTTACTGATTTCATTTATTTTCTTTCTTTATTTGCCTTCCTCGCCCGTATGGATGCAGGTCACACCCCTCTGTGCGGACACGACGCCCAGGGAAAGTCCGTATGACCCGCACTTGGCCGGTTATCCCTATGGTGTCAACACGGAGCAGGCCGAGGAGTGGGGCCTGTACGAGAAGCACCAGCCTAGAACTACCAACCCGATGCTCAGGAAGAACCAGTATTGGGTGTAGTGAACTCTCGTTTAAGTTGTGCAGTGTCGCATCAACTGCGTGTTATGGTGCTATTATCTACTTCATAAGAAATCAAATGTTGTGGAGGAAGAAAAACATAGAAATATGTGTATGCATGAATGAAGTGGATCGTGTTTTGTGTTTACTTTCTGACTTGAAAATAATATCTAGTAGAATAAACTACAGACTGCAATGATTTTCCGAAGTTGTGTTTCATAAATGAATTACATGATTTTCATATAATGTTGTTTTTTTTTCGTTTTTTTTTTGCATGATGTCTGAGAAAGGTGAAAATTATTCAAGACATTTGTGGCATTTGATGACTGTGGCCTTGCACCACTCATTGTGATAGTGCTACTGGTAATGAATTCTTCAATGTGAAAGTATTATTGTGGTTATTTGTGTTGGTTATTTATATCTCGTGATGGGATTTTTACCTAAGCCCGGTCCGCATGTTCAATATGATGGCTTCTTGAACTACTGGTTTGTTAGTGGACTTTGTGCGTTCTTCTGAGTGTTTTGTTTACGGTAAAGTGTTCATGATTCACAAACTGTTTAGTCGAAGAAATACGCACAATCGCCAGTGTGAAATCACCTCCAGTTATTTATGTTCATAAGTTCATGGGCATTGAAAAAAAAAGAAAAAAAGAAAAACAAACTCACAGTTGTACTTATATAAAATGATGGTTTGAATGTTCAGCAAGTACTTAGAAATACCAAAAAAAGTCACGCACATATTTCACACTAATAATGGATATGTATAAATATTGTTCATATGTGGTATAGATTCAACAGACCTTCTGTATGTTGAAGGTTCATTGAATATCAGAAAAGGCGTAATATTTGCCTCTCGAATCTGATTTATTTAAGACTAATCGAATTCCTTAGAAAATGGAGCGAAAGCTGATGATTTTGACGTGGGTTTATTTTGGTTTTCAAAGACACATGTATAGGAGAACTTTAATTTAAATGGGTTTGAAATCATTTTTCCTTTAGCTGCTTATATGGTCATATTTACTGTATATTCCTATGTATTAAACAAACACACACACACACACACACACACACACACACACACACACACACACACACACACACACACACACACACACACACACACACACACACACACACACACACCACCACACACATACCATACCACACACAACATACACACTCACACACACACACTCACACACACATACCAACATACACACTCACAACAACATACACACACACAATATACATACATATACATATATATAATATATATATATATATATATATATATATATATATATATATATATAATATATATATATATATATAATTATCCCTCACACACACACTCACTCAAAGACGTACACACCTTTTTCACTACTGCGCTCGCACTCACTCTGCAGTCGACACGTGTGCGCAAAGATAACACAAACAATTCGGTGCCTAAAGTATGGAAGGTTGTAGCATCAGTTACAGCGCGACAGTGAAAGGGGTAAATGCATCGTTGTAGAATGAGAGGATGGCGGAAGTTGTCGTTTGATTTTTGGGTTTGTATCTTAGTTATTATTGTTATTGTTATTATTTTTGTTATTGTAAATGTTATGTTTTTGTTATGTTATAGCTCTTATTATTTTCATTATGTTGTGAATATTATTTTTGTTATGATTATCATGAATGTTATTATTATTATTGTAATGACTATTATTGATTTATCATTGTTATTATTGCTGTTATCATTATTATCATTAATTAATTATTATTATCACCATTATTACCAACAATATCATTACTATTTTTATTATGATCATTATTATTATTATTTTTATTTCCATTATTATTATTATTATTATTTAATATTATTACAATTTTAAATGGATTGCATTATTATTTATGCGTGTTTAAGTGTCCAAGCAAAAGGTTTAGTTTGAAAGAGGTTAATGATAATGACTAGATTTTAGATATGTGTGCATTTGTTTATTTATTATTATTTATGTTTACCTTTTTAGTATGAAACAGCTGAAGGCTCACAAATGTCCTACAATTTATGTGAGATCATATAAAGAAATACACTTGTTCCGATTTAAATTTTTCGCATACATGGAAAAAATACCCCCCCCCCATAAAAAAAAAAAAATGTTCAGGCCCCTTATGAAAATTAGCAATATATTTTTTTCAATTTCCTTCGACCTGATTCACGGACACGGACCAATGTTTTCATACAGTTATTCCGTAAGGATTCATGCTTGCCTTCAATGCAGAGTTGCGAAATGCCAGAGG